ATTAAAAAATTATGAGTGCGTTTGGTTTCCTATTTTTATCCATATTCCTAATCCTATTCTCCAAATATTGTTTGACATATTATTCCAGAAATATTACTATATTTTTTTAATTATTTTTTGACCCCTTAAGTTTATTAATTTCATTAAACAACCCCAAAAAAAAGTTTAAAAATTAGCAAAACACCCCTACCCACCCATTCTCGCCAGATTCCGGCAACTACCGTTGGTGGTAGCCACAATCTATCACAACGGCTTACATCTCGACCGAATTGACCGATAATTCACCGATCTGGCCTTTTCCAGCCAAATCCACTGTGGATTTGGCTGAAAAGGCCAGATCTGGCCGTCAGCAACCACCAAAGAAATGACCATCGTTGACAGACAACGATGGCCAACGATGGGCTTTTGTGGCCGTCAACGGCCACATCTAGCTGTAGATCTGGCCGTAGATCTGGCCAGATCTATGCGTTACTACACATATCCGACCGGTTTGTGTTGTAACACAATTTTCCAACCAGATTCCGACGATGGTGGCTTGAATCTAGCACTATGGGTGGTGGGGTGTTTTTGTCATTTTACAAAAAATTTATATATTGGGGTGTTTAATTAAATTAGCAAACCTATGGGATTTTTTAGAAATTTTTAAAATTTACTCCCTTATCCAACTACCCAATATTATTCCTAAAATCATATCCAAAATAATAAACCAAACGCACCCTATATTCTCTTTCTTTCTTTTGACTCCCCAAAAGTCGTAATTCCTCCACAATATTTATGCAACCTCCTCCACCCTATCTCCTCCATCTCACTACCTCCCAACCCTATTTCCTCCATCTTGCAGTGTCGTGCCTCCTCGTCCCATCTCACCCATTGTGTTTGTCCACCCTATTTCTGCCACTGCATCTCCTCCTCCGCCACAAATCTCTCACCATCAACCAACCCAGCCCCACATTGCAAACCCCACATATTCAACAAACCTTATTTTCTCTAATTTGGGCTTTTACTCCTTAATTTTCTATTCCCTTTAATCTTACAATGTATGTTTTGTGCATGAGACTAAAGAAAAAAAAAATCATATTATTATTATCTGAAAGTATAAGGATGGTTTTCATAAAATATCCCAAAGTAAGCATCTAAGATATGGTCGTCATTTGGCTGTCATTGAAGGTTAGATTTTTTACTGTCATGGTCATCAATGACAGTCAAGATAAAACCATCGTCAACAGTTAGATCGGTGTATGATCGGCTAGATCTAAACACATTCAACAATGACCACCCTTGCTTGTTTTTGGTAGGTAAAAAACTATTATTTTCATCACATTTTCAGTACACATCATGCACAGCAAAACTCTATACTTTCCCCTATATAATAACTTAAAACCTGATACCTTTTCATCATCTCAAACACTTTCTTTTCTCTACAAACACATTCTTGCTTGTTTTTGGTCCAAAGATCGAAATTCTTAACGATAGTTAGTTGTATTCTCCTATTTTCGCAATAATATATAGCTTGTTTTACAATCGGATTAATTGCATTTTATATGTTTCAGATTTATTTACTTACTTTTGAAGGACATTTCAACATTGGTTTTCAAAATTACGGTGGCAAAAAAGCAACTCCTTCTATTCAATATCGATATGGGGTGAAGAAGAGTCAAAGTTTATTAAAAAAATATGATACATTATTGAGGTTGAAGGGTTGATTAGATTAGAAGAATTTATTACTACATTGCCAATAGTGTCATTATAAGTCTCAACATTATCTTATCGATATTCTTATATCAAATATGTCGGTTCCATGTATCAATGTACTTTTAGTAATATCGGTATTTGATGGTCAAAAATTTAGTTGCGATAAATAAAAGACGTTAACACTTTTTAGTAACAGCGAACGTATTTAATATTAAATGATCTCACATAGAGCAAATAGTGGGCCTTTTGATTTGACACTCTTCAAAGCTTCTAAGGCCCATTAACATCATTTTCTATTCTTAGTTTAAAATTTAAATTTGAAAGCGTCCTACCTAAATATAATATTAATATCATATAGTTGTATGATATTTAGGTAAGATGACAAAAGACTTTCAAACTAATAACATAATCTTCATCAAATAATTTATTGATTTTGATAAAGCATAGCCAACTTTGAATTAGACTATTGTTTACTTATTTTAAATCAAAGTAAAGACACATGTATGTATGAGTTCATATAAGTTCAATTATTTATTTGACTCTTATATATACATTACAAAATGATATTGTATTGTTTTATATTTTAATAATAATTGATTATATAGATAAATCCAAAGAGGCTAAGGTTGGTCTAGGTCTAAATTCAAATTCAAATTCAACTTTAATGATAAACTTGTCCTTAACCCTTATAAAACCCATATGACATCTTTAATTTTTATGTTATAAATGACAAAGGAAGGAATCAAATATTTTTGGTTAAAAACATTAATCTCCTTGAGGTATAATATAATAACAAAAATTCCCTTAAGATTTTGAAAATAATAAAATTATCTTTATTATTAAGTTTTATGTATTAAAATAAACGGTAAAAGGACAATTTGGTGATATTCACTAACTCACAATAGTATAAATTTTAACGGCTTACAAATAGCTGATTAACATTAGGGGGATTTATGTTATTTCGGAAACTTCAATGAGATTTTGTTATTATATCAATCATTCCTTAGGGGGATTAAGGTTTCAAACATAATAAAAATTCCTATCCGTTAAGTTTTAGGGTTTCAAACATAATAAAAATTCCTATGCGTTAAGTTTTAGGTGTTAAAATAGTAAAAGTGTAATTTAGTAATATTTACTAACTCATAACAGTATAATTTGAAAAACTCACTAATAGTTCGTTAATGACAAAGGAAATTTTGTTATTTTTAAAATCTTAAGGGGATTTTGTTAGTATATCAAACCTTATGGGGATTAATGGCATTAACTCATAAGAAAATTGTAAAGTAAGAAAATGAGGGTTAAAGACATAGACCTTGAGGTACGATGAAATAACAAAAATTCCTCCAAAATTTAAAAAATAACAAAAATATTAACATTGTTAAGTTTTTTATGTTAAAATAAAAGGTAAAATGATAATTTAATAATATTTCTTAACTCATAACCAAATAAATTTTAAAGATTTATTAACAATTCATTAATAGTTTGAGTATTTTTATTATTTCAAAACCCCAAAAGAATTTTTATTATTATCTCATATATTAGAATTCGATGTCTTTAACCCTTCAATATATTATGAGTAATGTTACAGACACCAAAAATTACATACTGAATCTATGTACCGAATGACGTGACAAAATCCTGACTATTGATTCATTATCAATTAATATTAATAAACAATCAAGATTTTACCAAATTATTTAGTACACAAATTCAGTGTACAACCATGATAACTCTATCGTTTTCGATATATTATATCCTCAACCTCAACATCAACAACTTAATCATTGTGGTAAGAAAAAATTTATGTTTATTAATTTATTAAATTTATATTAATAAAATAATAAACATAAAAAAAAAAGTAAAAATTGATAATACCAAGAAAAAGATAGATGGAGACCATGTTAGAGGTGTGGCCCCACGAGTGAAAGCAATAATATTGAAGAGGACAAAAAGGGAGAAAAAAAAACAAACAACAGTTGTCGATTGACCTACTCTCATCCACTCCATTTTCTTTAAATAGCACGTGGCATTATTACATTCATAAAAGGTTTACATCCACGTCACAATTGCATCAACATAGAATATTATCAGTTTTCACATGAAATTTCAACCTGACACCCGTACTATGCCTAACTTTACGCGCATCAATTAACGTGTATATTAATTAATTTATTTTTAATAATTTATCATAATTTATGTTTTAGGATTCTAGAACCATAGATGAATAAGACTCCGATTAGTTATTTTTGGGTGGTTTTAAAATAATCTTTTGAAAAAAATTAAATTAAATTGGCATTATGATATAGAATTTTAAAAATTATATAAATACTCTTATATTTATTTATTTACTAAATACCCTTATAATAAAATATTCAAAGTTAACAAAAGCATCACTAATTCACTCATAAATACAGATAACCAGCCACCACCACCGGAGATTGGTTAGAGTCCTCTTATCGACGTATGACCGGCTCGATCTGGTCGATCATGGGTCGATAAAAGGCCAGATCTGTGGCTAGATCTGGCCATTGATTGTCGGATCTGGCCGCATTCTTGGCCGTCATTGACGACTATATCTTGGCCGTCATTGACAACTGTCTATAGCCAAAGAACGGCCAGATCTTTGGCTGTATATCTAACCTTTTCCGACCAGATCCAACGTAGATCTGATCGGAAAAAGCTAGATCGGTGCACTACCGGCCAAATTCAGCCGGTAATGCGTCATTACACCAGATTCTGGCCAGCTTCCGATAGTGGTAGCCGGAATCTAGTAAATTTTGGTTATTGGGGTGTTTTTTTTAATTTTTAAATTTTTTTTTTGGGGTTGTTTAGTTAAATTAATCAATTTAGGGGGATTAAATGAAATATGAATTTTAAAATAATTCTTTAAAACATACATAGAAATAATTTAGAAAACTTTTCTCAAAGAAATAATTTGGGAAAACTAGAATAGTTTTTCCAATAAGTGAACCAAAGGGAGCCGGTTGCTATTTTTATTAAGAATTGAGGACGGTTTCTAACACAAGATTTCTTGAATAATATATCTAAGATTCTTTATCGAATTACAATTAATTAACATAATCACCCTTTATTTTTTTAATAAATTGATAATATGATCTTATTCGATTAATATTTTATTTTTTCATTCAAATATGCTAACAAATCTAACAAAATTATGTCAACTTTTGACACAAACCCTTTCCAAACTTAATCTAGATCTCCTCTCTTTCTTTGGTAGTAAAAAGCTAATTATTTTCACCACATTTTCTGTACACATCATGCACTGCAAAACTCATTTTCCCCTATAAAATAACTCAAAACCTGGTACCTCTTCATAATCTCAAACGTTTTCTATACTCTACAAACACATTCAACGATGGCCACCCTTAAAGTTCCATCCCAGACTCCCTCTGCAGCCGAAGATGCTGAGCAACTCCAGAAGGCTTTTAAAGGTCTTCTTTTGATCACCCTTTTACTTATTTTTCTTTCTGGTTTCGTTTTTTTTATGGGGTTTGATCTTTTTGTTTCATCTTCATTTATGTTTGATCGTCTACTTGTTGATATTACAATGTACATTCACTGCCCTCTATAGTGTTGATTATGTTTGTGTTGGTTTTTTCTTGATGATCTTTTAAGTCAACCGTATATGATCTTGATCGGCTCTTAGCTTGACTTTGAAGAAGTTTTTGTATCATGTAGTGTTCATAAGATGGTGTTGGATCTATGTATAATCTTGTTTTTGTAAAGGGTGTTTTTTTTTTTTTTTTGTGTGTGTGTGTGTTTTTCATTGTTGATTTGAGTTGTAAATGGTGAGTCTTTCTTTTAATTTTGGATTTTTAAGCGTCTAGAAATGTCAAATCAATTGTTTATCACGTTGAGATGAAAAATCTGAGTTTTGATGACTTCAAAGACTATAGTTACTCTGTTTATTGTATAGTTCTGTTTGTTGTTGTTTGGATCTAAGATCTAGCATCATCTCATCATGCTCTGTTCTTATATTCGAGTGTTATATCAATATCGCATCTATTTAATGTGATTTGTTGCTTCTATGTATAATAATCACTAATTAAGGGCTGCTTTGATGATATGTTTGCAGGATGGGGCACGAATGAGGCTTTGATCATCTCTATCTTGGCTCACAGAAACGCCGCGCAGCGCAAATTAATTAGAGAAGTCTATGCTTCAACTTATGGGGAAGACCTTCTTAAGGCACTGGACAAAGAACTTTCAAGTGATTTTGAGGTCAGATTGTGATGTTTCTTAAGTTTTGTTCTGATTTCACCGGGTTGTTTCATGTAGGAGACTTGTTTTGGTGTGAAAGAGTTTTGATTTTGTACACTATGGTCTTAGTTTTTCATGATTTTTGTGTGTCTGTGTTTTTGTTTGCATTGAAAAACAGCGGGCTGTGTTGCTATGGACATTGACCCCTGCGGAACGTGATGCATATTTGGCCAATGAGGCGACTAAGAGGTTCACTTCAAGTAACTGGGTTCTCATGGAAATCGCCTGCACTAGATCTTCGCTTGAACTATTTGCAGTGAAGCAGGCCTACCAGGCTCGTTACAAGAAGTCCCTCGAGGAAGATGTTGCACATCACACAACCGGAGACTACCGCAAGGTTTTAGACTGTAGAATTTACTTCTTGTTTCATCTTGACAGAAAAAATCGATTCACTTCTTTGCAGTGCAACACTTTCTTTGTAATGTGCTTGCAATCCATGATATGGTTTATTGTTTTGCACTAATTCTGGATTTCTTGCAGCTTTTGGTTCCTCTTGTGAGCACATTCCGGTATGAAGGAGATGAGGTGAACACGTTGTTGGCAAAATCAGAGGCTAAGATTCTTCATGAGAAGATCTCAGACAAGAAGTATAATGATGAGGAGGTTATTCGGATTATTTCTACACGGAGCAAGGCACAGCTCAATGCAACTCTTAATCACTACAACAATGCATTTGGAAATGCCATCAACAAGGTATTGAAATGTTTTGTAGCTATCATATACCTTATTTACTTCTCTCATTCTAAAATGGTTCTTATCTTCAGAATTTGAAGGTTGATCCCAACGACGACTTTCTTAAACTACTGAGAGCAACAATCAAGTGCTTGACTTGCCCAGAGAAGTACTTTGAGAAGCTTTTGCGCCTTGCCATCAACAAGTTGGGAACGGATGAATGGGCTCTTACTAGAGTAGTAACAACGCGTGCTGAAGTGGACATGCAACGCATTAAGGAGGAATACCGTAAGAGGAACAGTGTCACTCTGGAGAAGGCAATTGCTGTTGACACTTCTGGGGACTATGAGAAAATGCTTCTTGCTTTGATTGGACATGGAGATGCTTAAACAGTAGCTATGCTTTTATCTTTTGCTTGTATGCTTGGCTGATTTTGCTTGTATTACTCTGCTTTGCCAGTTTTCTGAGAGTTGTAAGTTGGAACATGTGGGTGTTTTCTTAAATAATGTAATATTAAGACTGTTTTTGCCATGGACAAGAGAATTTCAATTTACCATTATAATTATTAGAAAATTATGAGAAATTTCTCTGCATAATCAAAGACTCATATGACTGGTTCTAAGTCCGAGAATATCTAAATTTTGTTTAAGAGACAAAAGTATTTGAAATAGTCTTTAACCTAGTTATTCTTAATTACTCTCGTTTAACCGAGTTATTCTTAATTACTCTCGATGAAAAGTAACAAATATAGTCTAACATCTCTAGCATTATTTTAAAACCACGCCCGGCCTGGACAATTTAACCAGGACCTGACATTTCACTGGGTTGGGTTAATATTTTTTTTATTCACTCAAAAACCATAGAATTTGGAATGATGATTGACGAACAATTAAAGGCCGGGATTTTAAGACTTTTGAAGAGAAAGTGCCGATGAGTACAATGATGGCAACCGAGTTGATTTTTGATGAGTGAATCGACAGGAAATCGAAAGAATGTGGCGACGACAACAACCAACTTTGGCAGACAATTGGCGAGACTAACGGGGTTGGGGTGTGGTGGGTTTTGGTTGAAAGGAAGAGGGAATTATTTTCGGGCTAATAGGGAGGGTTGTTGACGCTAGCGTCGATGAAATCTAGCCTGAAATGTTGACGCCTAATCTTGGGTAGACTTTTTGGGGAATACGCTGAAGAGACGATTGAGATTGCATTTGAGGTGTCGCCACCGCCAACCAAAAGCCGACCGATTTGTATTTAGGATGTGTTTGCTAAATTTCAAACCTATAAGAACTTAACTGTAATTTTTAGGGATATATTTGCTAAATTTTAAAAGTTGTCATCCAAGCCAATCAAAACGGTCAACCTGGGACCCGAAAACCTTGCCAGGTTTCACCCCAAGTTGATTTTCAAAACATTGATCTCTAGAATGCTCTAATGAAGTTGTTAAATCATACTAATAAATACTAGGTTATCAAACCTAGTATATATTTCATTAAAGGTATAATTGATAAATCATTTAAATTTACAAGAAGATTTCTTTAAATAAAACCTTCACTCATATTCTATAAAAATATAAACATATTAACACTTTAAAGAGCTTAAGAAAAAATTCAAAATTTTCTACAAATAAAGGATAAAGGTAAGAATAACTTATCTAATCACTCATACTCTTGTATTCATTTTCAAAGCTGTATGCTATCACTAGTTTTCCATTCAAAGTTCCAATGCATCAAGTCATCAAGCAGATGATAATGGTGGGGGTCTTAATTATTCAAGAAAATGGAAGTCTAAACTGAAACAACATATTAAACAGTACCCAGAAAGACAGCAAAGTTTAAATATCTAAATTAGACAACCACCCACTGGTTCTGATCTAAAAGTTAACAACTAAACGAATTGCATAAGCCACAATCCACAGACTCAGATAGATGCCCTATACCAAGGATCATCATCAAGCATTGCAGGTCATTCACTGGTGAAAACATAGCGTCGACACTGGGATACGTAGAAACAGGACATTTACTGATAACTAAGCGATGCAACAACAAAGATGGTTGCAAGTCAAACCAAGGAAATGCTGCTCTCGCCACCGGGAGGCTTGCGGACACCACCAAAGTAGTCTCTGGATTCTGCCTTTCCATCAGAAAAAATGTTATTGCCGCTCATTTCTCTCAACTTAGCTGTGCTTAGAGGCTTTTCAGCTGATCCTGGAGGTACATCTCCCTTAAAGATATCATTGCCGGTCAATTCTTGGAACTTCTGGTTATGTATTTTCTTGGCGGTCTTTACTACAGGTTCTTCACTGAACAGGATATTACTCTGACCTCCAGCAGGCTATAAAGATTAAAAACAACTCTTCAGTACAAGTCACACTAAATACCACAGATGTGGAAGTTGAAAAGCTAACGCATCAAGCCAACCAAAGATGACCCGAAAACAATTCAGATGAGCCAACTGTAGAAAGGGAATTCAAATGGTAAAAGTGGCAGAAGCACGTCTTCTTTCAATTACCATACTTGAAGGTAGTACGAAGATAATTGACATCATATTTGTATAAAAAAAAAATGAAAGAAAAAAAAACAAATGAGTAGATACAGAAAAAGTTCTGAAATTATCATATATCCCATTCCAGATTGTGGCAGGAACTTGATAAGGGCATTATAGGCATGAGTTGATATAAAAGTTAAACCCTTGCAAGTGAGTGAGAAAATCAAGTTAAGTTTGCTTGATAAAGGTCAAGTATGATAAAAAGTTTTTAAATATTTGTACGCATTCCATGATATCTAACAGAATAGCTGCACTAATATTGACTGTTGAATTGTCCTAAAGCCTTCCACATGCATCAGGGAACTGAGCTACATCTTTGATTTTATAGCCATTTTTCATGGAAAAAGGCCTTTAAATTGAAACAATGCTACCTATAAAGTGGTATATAAAGCAAGGCATTGCTAGAGAGTCTATTGTTAATTTCCCATGCAAATTAGAGTCACAACATGAAAAGAGAGATTTAAATTAACTGAATAAGGACATGGGAAAGATCCTAGAACACTGGAAAAGTATACTCACATTGGAAACTTTCACGGAAGTGCGCACATTCCTAGGTGCAGGTTCCCCCATGTCTTTACTTTCTTTGGATTCCATGGAGCGTGCAGCAGCTAGCGATCGGGGCTGAATTTCAGGAGCAGGGCTGAATATATCATGGCCACTAATCTCTTTGAACTTTGCATTTGATATCTGCTTTTTATTCTTTAAGTCTGCCTCGGATTGCAATGTGCCACTTAACTCACGCTGCTTTGCTACCTCAGGAATAGAGGTAGGCTTCTTTGGGGAAACTGTCTCTTCAACACTGAATGAGATCTGGCTGATTCCATTCAATGCTTGCTGAAAATTCAACCACCAAAAGTAAAGTGAATTAGCATCATGAACACTCTTCATGTCTAAGTGTATAGAGAGACCAAATATGTACCTGATAAACGCGCACTCCTGTTTTATTATGATTAGCAGAATCAGATTCTGATGCACTGTTTTCACCATTGCCTGCAAATATGCCGCTGCCATTAATTTCCTTCAATTTATAACCTGAACAAGGCTTCCTGAAAACGTCAAAGCGAAAAGCTTTAGATCACAGTAGATAAAGATAATAGCCATAAATATCTTGAAATCAAGGCGCTAACATGCCCTTCAATGCATAAACTAAATGATGCAGCCTTATGCAGTGTCATGAACTTATTTAAAACTCTCAACATTTTCGCCACCCAAAGCATGGTTCAGATTTTCAGTTCAGTACAGATTAAATAATGCTCACTGGCATGATGAGAAAACTACATTTCAGATTCCAAACAACAATAGGCTCAACATCTACAAACTTAGCTCCAATTTTCCGGCACAAGATCATAAATTTCAAAAACTTCATTAAAGATCCAGGTGTAGCAACAGATTCCTAAAGTGCCACACACCAACATGCAGCATTAGAAAAACTGCATTTACTGCTAACCATAAAAGAGAAAAAAGAAAAACATCAAGTTACATGTTTACATTGTACAATGATTAATACATTTCCAAATTACAAGCAACAAAAGGATGACCATCAACACATTCGGCTCCAAATTTACCAGTGCAAGATCAAAATTTTCAAAAACTAATTCAAAATCCTGGCAAAAGCAACAGATTCTAAAGTGTCACACGCCAACATGCAAAACTGCAAAAACTAAATTCACTGCACACCAAAAAAACCCCCAAAAAATAAAGCTTCCTCCAACAAGTTACGTGCACACATTGCACAATGATAAACATTAGCATAAGATTTCATACAATCATCAAAACTAGAATAACCCATTACTTTCCAACAAATAAGGCACCAAATTGTTACCAGAACAAGATCAACTCTTTTTTTTTTTTTTTTTAAAAATAAAAAAAGAAATACATTTTGATTTTTTAAAAATAAAAAAAGAAATACATTTTGAAACTCATTATAATAAGACTCCTGTAAAAAAATTCTTTTTAGTTGTTCAATGCATTAGAATCAATCAAAATCAGTTCGAATTCTTGTCTTTTAAAGACTAATCAGACCCCATCATTTTCAAAAGAAAATGAAACAGTAGATCTGATTTCACATCCACTCATCTTCACATGCAAATTTTAAAAAACAAAACTTCACAGCTAAACTCAGCTCAAAAACTAAACTTTACACCAAAACTGAGCTGAAAACGGTCCTGTTTCAAACCAGATCTTCACTTTACTTACTTCTTGTTCAGTGACTGAGACTCTTCATCGGTGACTTGACCTCCGAACAACACTTTGCTGATGCCATCGGACGGCTGAGATTCAATGCACACCACCAATTCAAAATCACTAAACACAACCCAACATTTTCAAACTTAAAAAGAAAAAAGAGAGAGAGAAAAAAAAATGCATGAGATTTTACTTGGTGAGAGCGAGTAGCGGAGACGGGTGCGGCGGATTCCGACGGAGGAACTTCGGACCAGGTCAGCAGATCGGAAGTTGACACGTGGGGTTTCCTCACTGGCGTTGTTCTCTCCATGTCTGAGTTTTCTGTTGTTTCTTCTTTCTGTGAGTCTGAGTGAAAGTGTTGGCTCTGTTTTTTCTGTTTTTGTTTTCGTGTTTTCAGATATTTCTATTTTTAATTTTATTTATTTATTTTTTAATTTTGGAATTTTGACAGATAAAAAAAATCCACCAAACTAATTTGAAAAACAAGTACTCTCGTGAGTACAAGATGTACTCATACTCGCTATCTTTAGTAGAGAGTGAGTAATAAGAAAAATAATATGATATTATCAACTTAACGTTTAATTTTTAAATTTAAATTGTATTTGTGCTGTCCCATTGACACTTAGTCAATATATATATATATATATATATATATATAATGTTCGTATATTTTATTTGACTAAAATTATAAATGTTAGATAATGAATCTCAAAAATTAATTTTTAATAAATATTGTTTATATTGACGGGTTTGATAATTCAAGTCTTACATATATCATCCCTTTATTTTGTGCTACTTAGAGTCGTTGTCTACCACGTTCTTCTATTTTGTTTAACTAAAGTTGAATATATTAGATAATCGATATTGAAATTAAGAAAATATTAGGTTAAAAAGGTTTATCTTTGATAATTTTTAATATTTATCATAATTTAGAAATTCTTTTTAATGTAGTCTAGAAATTGTAATGAAAAAATTTCCTATAATTTTCAAATAAATGATGATATCATGTGGTTGAAAGATTGATTTTTGAAAATGATTTTGGAAAACAAATGTTTTTACTTGAGTTAGAATGTTATTTTCCCATTTGGATAATTGTAAACATCTATAAATAATAATAATAATAATAATAACTCACCAAATTTGACATGTGATGTATTAACTTTATTATCAATTGGTTAAATTAATAGCATAAAACTTGTTTTTTTTTTTTTCGACAAAAATAAATAAATTTTCCCCTGTTGAAGATATTTAATTTCTAAATATGGATTATGGTTATGGTGAAAAGGATATGAATTAATTAACTAATTAATTACACAAAACAATAAATAACACTTGGTTTAATTAATTAATTAATTATTATTTTCTCAAGTGTCTCTTGTTGGGGAGTAGCTGAATAAATATGAAATGAAATAAACAAATGAAAAATTAATCTTTATTTATTAGATACTAAGACTATTTATGAGTAATGTATTTATTTTTCATTTATTGTATATACATTATAAATATAATGAATTGAAATACATAACAATTGGTATAAGGCATACGAAGATGAAGATTATTTTTTATTTTATTTTATTTTTTACAGAGGTATCCAAGCTCATAGTGGAGTCTGCATAATCCTCATGGTCACAAAACATCATACAAGCTCAATGAACTAAAGTAATTGCATAAATGTGATAGATATCTCTTTTGCAATTCGAACACAAATTTTTTTGGATATAGCCAATAACGGATCCAGAAATTTCTGTTAAAGTGGGCTAAAATAAAAACTAATTACATATTAATATTTTTGTTAGAGTATGCCAAAATCTAAAAATTGTACATATTAGTATTTAAAAAAAAAATTGAAGGGTGGGCCATACTAGACTGGATCCGTCCTTGGGTATAGCTAACCTTAGTGACTAAAAAATTTATTATCCGACCACAAGAGAAGAGGTAGGATGAAGATTATTCACTTGGTTTTGTGATATTATAATTATAAAAAAGATTTGTTCGAAAACTAATTGTTCAAGAAGTTTAATTTGAACAAAAGGGCTATCGCTATTATATAATATCGTACAAATACAATTTCCCAAATTTTATGTTTTAGGGTTGATAAATTTCTAATAAAACCCGCATAAGAGGAAACTGGTTTAATTTATATATGAGATGAATAAAACTCTAGCTAATTAAAAGGATTATAATTTCATAATATGATTGATGAATTGGTCCCTATTATTAATTAATTTTGGAGATGAAATGTTTGGTGGGCAGTTAGATCCTCCACTGTTGTTCGTATATTATTGAAAGCTATACTATCATTTATTTATTTTTTAATGCTTGAAAGATGACTGCTATCTACTAGCTACATTTACAATAAATTATGTGCAATCAATTTTTGCATCCAATAAATATAACACATTTATGTATGGTTAGACTTTGGTTACTGTACAATATTGTATAAGTGTATATTACGAGTTGTAAATTTCACGTTATAAGTTCATAAATTTTAGGTTGATGTAATATACTGCTACAATGTTGTACTATAACAAAACCAATATGTATAGGGTTATAAAATAAACAAAATTTTTTACTTAATTTTTTGATACTGTTTATGGATTGTTTTTTAAGTTCTCTTTAAAATCTAAGTAATTTAATAATTGATATTTCAAGATTGGGGTTTGGGGTTCGGGTTTAGGGGTTAGGAGTTAAGGTTTAGAGGTTACATATAGCCAGAGGCGGATCCAGCCTAGTTTTGGGTGGGCTCTCAATTTTTTTTTTTTTTAAATACTAATATGTATAATTTATAGATTTTGACTCACCCTAACAAAAATATTAATGTATAATTAGTTTTTATTTTAGCCCACTCTAACATAAATTTATGGATCCACTACTGCATATAACCCTAGACATCCAATATAGAAATACACTTAACACATGCACATACTATAAAAAGATCAACAAAAAGCAAAATATTTAGAGGGATTGAAGAGTTTAGTGGTTACATTTAACCCTATGCATCCACTATAGCAATACATTTAAGGCATGCGCATACTACAAAAAGACCAACAAAAAGCAAAAAATTTAGAGGTGTTGAAGAGTTTAGGGGTTACATATAACCCTATGCATCCAATATAGAAATGCACTTAACACATTCCTGATTCATAAAACAAGCATAATGTTTCCCAACATAGTCATTCATGAATTCAGTATCAGCATAAATAAATCAAAGAAATGGAAGTTAATATCAAAATTATCTCCACTTGGCATATGGTACTAAAAAAAGGGAATTTAATAATAATAAAATGAGTAAACGACAAGTTTTCACCCCTGGTTTCATAAACTCCACATTCCCATCCTTAAATTAATGCTGTTTCATTTTTTTAATACTTATGGGCTAAGACTGTCATTTAATATATTTTAAAACACCCTCATATCCAAGAACTAATTAAAATCGGAATCCTAACAACGAAAAACTCAAATCAATCCAAATTAATAAAAGAAGGATTTGCACGGATCATCCCACCAACTTACAGATTCAGTGATCATTACCTCAAGGCATCCTACTATAAAATGGGAGCTTCTCTCTCATTAAGGGGATTCGTACATTTTATCCTTGACCAATCTCTCTCTCTCTAGAACAGACAGTCTTTTTTACCTTGTATCATTAGTGTAAAGTCAGTCGTATAAAACGACATGACCCTTATCATTAAGAAAAACATCAGTGGACGTAGGATTTGCTTCCTTAGCATCCGAACCACTTTAAAACTCATTTCTCACTGTATTTACTCTCATTTTCCTTTCATTTCACGTGTGTCTTTTGGGTCAACTCAACATTTCACACGTGCGTTTCGTTGGTGTCAAAATCACGCATCAACAGTTAAAAAAATGAAATAGCTTTAATTTAAGGATGAGAATATGGAATTTATGAAACCAGGGATGGGAACTTGTCGTTTACTTTTTTTATTATTATTAAATTCCGTTTTTTTAGTACCATATGCCAAGTGGAGATAATTTTGATATTAACTTCCATTTCTTTGATTTATTTATGCTGATCCTGAATTCATGAACGACTATGTTGGGAAACATTATGCTTGTTTTATGAATCAGGAATGTGTTAAGTGCATTTCTATATTGGATGCATAGGGTTATATGTAACCCCTAAACTCTTCAACACCTCTAAATTTTTTGCTTTTTGTTGGTCTTTTTGTAGTATGCGCATGCCTTAAATGTATTGCTATATTGGATGCATAGGGTTACATGTAACCTCTAAACTCTTCAATCCCTCTAAATATTTTGCTTTTTGTTGGTCTTTTTATAGTATACGCATGTGTTAAGTGTATTTCTATATTGGATGTCTAGGGTTATATGCAGTCGCAGATCCATAAATTTCTGTTAGGGTGGGCCGAAATAAAAAATAATTGTACATTAATATTTTTGTTAGGGTGGGGCAAAATCTAGAAATTATACATATTAGTATTTAAAAAAAAAAAAAGAAAATTGAGAGCCCACCCAAAACTAGGTTGGATCCACCCCTGGTTATATAAAACCTCTAAGCCTTAACTCCTAACCCCTAAACCTGAACCCCAAACCCCAATATTGAAATATCAATTATTAAATCACTTGAAGTAGCTTGCTGAATGCTGATTCTTAGATTTGGAGTTGTTTCAAATAAAGTTGTTCTTGTCAGTGATAGGCAGATTTTTCTCCAAAAATAATTCGTGCTTCCATATCATAATGTAAATCTCTATTGCAGGTGGTAGAGATTGGCAAGGGGAGTAAAGTGAAATACGAACTCGACAAGACTAGTGGTCTTATAAAAGTGAGATTCTATTCTTCTTCTTTTATTAAATTTCCTTGAACCCTTGAATTACATTTAAAATATTGCTGTTAAAATATAATTTGATCTTATCCTATTAGTTTTTTTTTTGTTTTTTGTTTTAATCATCCAACTTATGTTATTAGTAATAACTGAGCTTGAAGGAGTATTGTAGTTGACTTTCATATGTTCCATAAAAATAGTGAGTGGACAGATTAAATGAGTTGAGTAATTGAATTTGACTAGGGGTGGTTTATTTTTATACTGTAGAGGTTGGCAAGATTTTGATGGTAGTACATCAAAATGCTGTCACATGTTCCCCGACTAGAGCTTGCAAAACTTAAGGAGAGGTGGACTTCCCAGACTGGAGCTTGCAAAACTTAATGAGAGGTGGACTTACCCGACTGGAGCTTGCAAAATTTAAGGAGACAACAACTTATAAATTTGTGATAGATTTTATTGTTTTGTATTTGTTCAGATTTTACTGTCTTAATTTGCTTGTTGCTCTTATGGTTATGTTATACTCTAAAAATGGATGAATGCACTTTGTCGAATGTTATTTATATATTTGGTAAGTATTCAAAAATA